TGTTGCGTATTGGCTGGCAGTGTCTTTACAAGTCACGAATATATTCTATAAGAAATAAAAATTTCTAATTTAGAACAGGCTACATCAATTCTCAGAAAATATTTCAGCTTGCTTAGTGTCTTAATTGTGAATTCTTTTATTCAACATTTTCTTAGTATAATTGATGTTTTTTGTTATTTCCTGTTGTAATGATATTTATCAACGTATATTAGGAGAGCTGTAACTCCCCCTATCTTTGAGTGTTTGATGAACAAAGTGTGATTTACTTGAATCTATTTGAATTCTAAATCTATTACCGCCCTTGTGAATCTGCTAAATCATACCCTTGGCTACTATTTTAGTGCATATAATGTTTTCTTTAGTTTACGTACCTTATTTACTCATGCTTCTCCGTCAAAGTCTAGTGGAATATTTATGTAGATTTTTTCTTCTAAATCTTCATGCAGGAAGATATATTTTACATCAGGCATTTATAATTGCTAGTTAAAGTTGACAGCTAATGATAATAAGATTCGCACAGTGTCAATCTCGACTATTAGTACAAATATCTCTTGATAGTCTATTCTACATGTCTGTTTATAGTTTTTTGCTATCAATCTCACTTTATACCTCCCGATTATCTCATCTAGTTTACATTTAAAAATTTGTTTACATTCTACTGGTTTTTTTGCCTTTGGGTATATCCACCATTGCTCAAGTTTACTTTTTTTTAAGTGCCTTCATCTTTATATTGATTACATTTTTCTATTTTTTGTTGGATAATGTCTCAGATATTGTGTTAGGGACATATTAATTATTTAAATTTGTGAGGACTTTTGGGTAGATCCACCATTTCTGAAGTCTATTTTTTTCAAGTACTTTCATCTTTATATTGATAATATTTTTTTATTTTTTATTGGATAATGTCTCAGGTATTGTGTTAGGAACATATTAATTGTTTAAATTTGTGAGAAAAGTTTTATGGGTTCATGAACACTTATCAAATGACACAAATTGCGAAATAAAATGCAGAGGATATTTAGTGCATTCTTTACCTTTACAAAGTGTGATAAACATATCATTATTAGATGATTGTGTAAGTTTTCAGGGACTTACCTCAGTTGTAGGATCAAAGTCAGATTCTTAACCAGTCTTAACTTGGTACCTGACATCTTCTTCCTTGTATACACCTGAAAAATCTAAAGAATGGTGTGATCTCTTGAGATGATGAATTTTTTTGTGATTACGAGTTTTTAATAGGTTCCAGGTGTTCTCTTGCAGTGATGTTTTTGAGGTGCATGACAAAGGTGGTAGATTAAAATTCATTAAGAATTCTATATCTTTATCTTTTAATATAGGCTCCCTTGAAGATAAGGATAGATAATATGAGATTTTTGTTAAATAAATGTGACGTCTGCAGACATATAAAATTTTTAAGTTGGCGAATAGTACTCCAGAAATAAACATTTCAAAGCACAGAAATCAAGTTTTCTTCTTTGGTGGAAACACATATTATCAAAAGCAACATACTTTAATATCCGAGAGATCAGATGGTTTGTGACACTTATTGATAAGTAAAACTGTTGAAGTGTTTCAAGAAAATTTTTGAAATTAAGAACATTTGTAGGCCATTGATTAATAACGTATGTGGCAGTAAGAATGATTTTGCCCTAATATTGTTCTAGGAAGTTACTTTAGAAATGAAAAACTTTGGTAGTAGTTAAAAAGTAACTTGTCTTGCGTTCCGCTATTCTGTTTTGTTGTGGAACTTGAACGCAAGATGATTCATGAAAAATTTCTTCCTGATCAATGACAAAAGTTTGTGATTGAAAAAATATTTTACATTATAGGTACAAATTTTTTTTACGGATGTTTTAAATTGAGTTTTTTTTATCATATTGCAAAATTAGGATGTGATATAAGTAACCTTAAATTTGGCTTTAAGTAAAAATAGTTAGGTGATTTTAGTGCAATTGTCAAGAAGTGACACCAACCACTGAGCTCCAAAAATATTAAGTGTGAGATGGTTCAGAAATATAAAGGGAATGTTACATGCTTATATTTTGCAAATTCACAAATATCACAATGTGAATTTTCATATTTTGTATTTTTTAACAACAAGAGAAATATAACATTTAAAATGGAGAAGGAAGGCTGCCCAAGCCTCTTATGGTGGAGTCAAATCTTGTGTATGAGACCGTGGTAATAACAGAGATGACTCTCTTAGGTGTATTCAAGTAGTAGAGTTCGTGTCTAACTTCAGCATATCTAATTATCTTCTTCAAATTCTAATCTTGAAAGTCATCATGAGAAGAGTTAAGTGTTACTTTATAATTAAAGTCGTGTGATAATTTATTGATTGACATAAGAATAATGCACAATCTGGGAACATGTAACATATTTTTTAGGAGAAGAATATGACTAAGTTTCATGTTCCCATTGTCTGTAACAGTATTTAAAAAACTATCTACAGTGACAATTTTCTTATTACTTGAATAGGTAACATATATATGAAAAAACTTAGAAGTATTGATATATGATTAGTTATTTTTGAGCTTAAAATTCATGAATTTTCAAAAGTTTTTTTAATGCATTCAAACTGTGTGAAAAAGAAAGTGTACGTAAATGTTTTATTAGGTGTGAGTTGCGCCGGAGACAAGCTAGGGTTCTAGACAAAAGGCACGAGCTAGGATTGTGGCAAATAGATTAGTGGCCAGCATGCACGCATTTGTGCATAGAGGATCGCGACAGAAACGAGTTAGAGCTTTGTCTTCATTTGCTTTGGAATGTTTAGAAGGTGTCATGTCTATGGGTCGCGTTTGGTCACAACTCAGTATGGCTTGTCAAGTTCACTTGTGTTTGATGAAAACGACCGAGAGGATTATGTGCGGCTTGACTAGAGCGATTGTGAAGTTGCTTGCATCTGATTGCAATTAAGGTAATCAAGAGAACTGTGTGCGGTGGCTGTGGCGAATTAGATCTAATAATGAAGGGTGATCTTGATGGAGATGGCCAGCTACAATGTCAGCTTGTGGTAGAGGTGGCTGGTCTGTGGTGGTTGGCAATGGAGGTTGGCCTCTCTAGAGTTTTTTTGTTTTGACAATGAAAACTGAATAGAGTTCGTAAAAAAGTCTAAGATTTCTTAACCTAAAGTTTGACATGTTAAGAATAGTTTGATTTTACAATTCTATATATATAGGTTTTTTAGGACAGAAAAAGATATAAGCAATTAATTAAGAGAGTGTAATTTATCCTTACCTTTAACCTAATTTACCATCTCTTTAACAATGTTCTTTCTGTTCTTGTTCTTCTTTCTCTCTTAGAATTTCCTCATGAAATTTTTGC